CCCTGGCCCTCGAGCCCGGGCTGCGCCCCGCCCGCTCTGGGGGCCCAGCTGTGCTGTCTGCAGCCAGAGTTGGGCGCCCTTTGCCCTTGCGCTCCCCTGACTTCTGCATAACAGAACCTCCAGCCCCGGTCCGGTCCGGCGGGGGCCGCTGTGGCTCTCGGCTGACCGCCGACTGGCAAAGCCAGAGAAGCTTTGGGGAGCGTGGTTCCTGCTCCCAGCTTTACCCACATAATACAGTAACCGCTAACGGTTCTTCCGCACCTGCCCGGTGCCAAGCACGGTGCCAAATCAGCCTACGTTACCGACTTTAACCCTCCCGAGGAAAGGAGGGAGGAAGGGAGGAAGGGGACAGGGACACAGGTCCGGAGAAGTCTGGCAACTTGCCTAAGACTGTCCCATCCCCAGAAAGGATTCGAACTGGGGCGAGAACCCCCTTTCCAGCCGGTGGCCAGGGCTTCCCTTGGCTCAAGTAATCCCAGTGGCGAGGAGGTGGGGCTGGGGAGGAGATGGCTCCGTTCAGCCTTGAGGAGCAGGAGATCCCTGGAGTTTTGCTCATCTCTCCCAGTTCATCGGAACCAACCTCTCTCTGGCTCCGGTATAAACCCAACCTCTCCACCCCTCCGGGACCTACTGTGTGCCTGAGCACACAGTAGGTCCTCAGCAAATACCCATTGGGAGAACGAACTCCCAGCCTGCCCTGTCTTTTGAGACATAGCTCCCGTTGGCTTATCAAGCCTGATAACTCAGACATTCTCTGTGCATCGCTCGGCGCCCCACCTGGTGTGTAATGGGTCATACACACGGGAAAGTGGGCCGACAGGTTCCCCTGCTTCTGCCAGAGCCCACAGGCGGTTCTGTGAGCTGCTGCCCCTGGAGCGCCGGAGCATGGAGGAGTCACTGCAGGCGCGTGTGTCCCTGGAGCAGATCCTCAGCCTTCGCTGACGCTCTATCCACTGAGCCAAACCGGTCAGGGCAAGGAACGGCGTTTTTCAAATCAGGATTCTAGGAACACATTCTTGGCGTGTCAAAAGCAGCCCGGTCCTTTAAGAGGAGTTGAGTTGCCCTCAAGTTTGAGATCCCCGCTTCCAGAGGCTGACTGCCTCTCCTGAGGGCTGTGAAAATGCAAGGGGCTGGGCCT